TATTTATCTACTGCTTTTATTTAATAAGGGATTTTTATTACTATTCTTATTATTATTAGTAGAAGTATTATTTCTTATTTAGTAGGGTTAGGAGATTATAAATAAGGGGAGTCTTTCATTGTACGTCAGTTTTTGAACAATTAAGAAATTATCTGTTCCTTTGAGTTTTATCTGTTCCCATCGTACGCTTTAACTGCATCAAAAAATCACATATAATTTGTCAATTTATGGCATGTCCTAGGGAGAAAGATCTGAATATTTTAATAACTAATCTTAAATTAAATAAATATAGTAGTTGCAAATATTTATACTTTGACTTGGAGGGACCACAGCCCTTTTATGTACATTAAATTACATTGGGCATCTCTATTTTAGCTCATCATTAAAATATAAGACCCATTAGTTTCTACACAATTAATGCTCACACCCTATTGATACTTTAAAGCCCAATAACTTTAAAACTTAATTGATCACTTTTATTTGAGCTTCTTTATTTGACAACCACAATCCCCCTATATATTAATGCAGAACGCGCTGAGCCTACGTGGCTGCTTTTGGTGCTTCGGAATCTTATGTGGCAAAACTGCATGCTTTGTTATAAGGCTTGGGTAAATTTTAATTTATTTTCAAACCAAAAATAATTAGGTTCGGATTACCATAAATATGTTGATTATTTATGGTAATGTTACATGTATTAATTGCATTTTAATATCATTCCTTACTATAACTATTAGGTTCGGATTACCATAAATATGTTGATTATTTATGGTAATGTTACATTTATTAATTGCATTTTAATATCATTCCTTATTATAACTATTGAATTGTATATATATTTAAAAGTTAATAACTTTTGTATTTTTTATCAGTTTTACATATGTAATATATCAAATTAATCTTCTTTTGATGAGTTTCGATTTTACATCCATATTGTATGTATAAAAAAAATAATTTATATTTATCTTTAAAACAATAATAAAATTATTTTTTATATTAATTAGATAAATAAAATTATTTATCAACTAATATATTTATATTTCAAGTAGTTATATGATATAAGTTATAAAAACTAATATAATATAACACATGTAAGTCATAAGTAACACATATCATTCTAAAATATATAGTAATATATTTTTTTTGTAAAAAAATAAATTAAATTTAATATAGTTTTCTCATTAATTTTAAAATTTAAGAATAATATTTTAACAAGCACCCGTGTAATACACGGGTGTTGTACTAGTACAATATTATTTCACATATTAGCCAAATGTTGGATTAAGGGTCTATGACCATCAATTTAAAATTGAATAGGAGTCTTATTCTACTCGGTTTATTAAGTCAAAAAAGTTGTTTGACAATTTGTTGTTTTAGTATACACTAAGGTGAAGTGCCATTTAAAATAACTTTCTAACTAATGTACCCTATGTGTTATTTTCTCTTTTGTAAAAGTCTATAGTTTAAAAAACAAATATAAAATAACTTTTTTATGTCATTCTTCTCTTTTTTTTTTTTTTCATTCAAAGATATGTCATTTTACTTTTGTAATGTATACAAATATTTCGATGTAACAAAAGTGTCCGCATGTTACAAATTTTCAGGCGCATTGACATTACAGAATGGCGTTCTCACACTATTTATACTCCACCCTACAAAGCCCAAATCTCACACACTCCATTTTACTGAGTACAGACCCACCCAAAAATGGACAGCCGACGACCAAAACCAGTTTTCTTGTCCATTTTCCTTGCCTTTTTCTTCCCCATTTCAATTTCCTTCTCCACACCGGACCTCAACTCTCAATACCTCACGCCGGAAGCCGACACTATTCTCTCGCTAGACCTGATCCACAGAGACCACATCCGAACCCCCTATCCCAACCCAACCCGGCAGTCTCTCCTCAGACACCGTCTCCACCGTGACCACCGCAGGGCCCAGGCACTCTCTGCCCCGATGCTCTCCGGGTTTCCCCTGGGGATCGGTGAGTACTTTGTCCGCATGGCGGTCGGCACGCCACAGAAGCACTTTTACATGGTGGCCGACACGGGGAGCGATCTCGTCTGGCTCCAGTGCCTCCCGTGTGAATACTGCTACAATCAGTCCGACGCACTTTTCGACCCGACCCGATCCAGCTCGTTCTCTCCCGTCCACTGTGCCTCCGAGCTCTGCCGCCAGCTCGACTACATGTCTGACAACTGCACTGCCCGCGACACGTGCCGCTACCAAATCAGTTACGGCGACGGATCCTTCTCGACGGGCGAGCTCTCGACAGAGACAGTGTGGTTCGGTAGGAAAAAGAAGGTGCCCCACGTTGCCCTGGGCTGTGGGCATGACAACAAGGGCCTCTTTTTTGCGGCCGCAGGTCTGTTGGGCCTGGGCCCGGGGAATCTATCCTTCCCAAGCCAGGCCCGGACCAACTTCTCCTACTGCCTGACCGACATATTGTTTGAGCAACCCAATAGGACGTCTTGGATCCGGTTCGGATCCCCGTCAGCCACCAACGCCCAATTCACCCCTCTTAAGGACAATCTCAAGTTTATTCAGACCCCTTATTACTACGTTGGTCTCGAAGGAATCTTGGTCGGAGGCAAAAATGTGGGCGGTATTCATAAATCAGTTTTCAAGATGCACTCAAACGGGTCTGGCGGGACGATCGTGGACTCGGGCACGACGGTCAGCCGCCTGCCGGGGCCGGCATACAGGGCGCTGAGGGACGCCTTCGTGGCCAAGTCCGGCCTCAAGCCATCCTCCAATTTCTCGTTGCTTGACACGTGTTTCAAGTTGTCTAGGAAGGCTTACTTGAAGGTACCCACCGTGGCTCTGCGCTTCGAGGGTGGGGCCATCATGGAGTTGCCGCGGATTAATTACTTGCTTCCGGTGGACCCCAATGGTACTCACTGCTTTACGTTTGCAGCCGCGGATCCCGGCAGTGTGTCAATAATCGGGAATATTCAGCAGCAGGGTTTCGAGTTCTGGTTTGACTCCGCCGGTAAACGGCTCGGGTTTGCCCCGAATAGATGTTGAAGCAGGGGATCCCGGCCACAGTTATTGGCGCTTTTTCAGTGAATTATACAGCAACAATGATTTACAAATACCGTTATTTATCAAGAATATCGTTTTAAACCTCCCTCTTCTTCTTTTTTTTTTTTTTTTTTTAATGTTTAATAGATTGATGTTGTTCGGTACAATCCATGTCCCTAGAGAGTTCAATACTGCATGTGAAGTGAGGATTGTGGAATTACATCTTATTATAAAATTCCATGTTATTGTTACTTATTAATCTTCTTATTTTTATTTTCCTGCCATTTTTTCTTTCTTTTATATGATGTTTGGCTCGAAAATGGCTCGAAAAAGAAAAAAGAGATAAACGAAAATAAAATAAAGTCGAGGCATGTGAGACACATTCTCTTTAAGACGTGGATTGTATATCCATGGTTATAACAAATCCTCCAAGATACAACTGTTATTGATTTGTATATAACGCAATAGTGGCACTTGTATTATACAAGAGCAATACTTAACATTAGATCACTACTAGAATTTAGTGCATTAGTAACGAAATTTTGAAGCAAATTAGTATTGGTGCCATAATTACGGTATTAATAACATAATTCTTCAACAGATTTAAATTGGTGTCATGGTAATGAGTTTTTGTAACATAATCTAATTTGGTTTTATTATGAAACCACATTTCCCTTCTTTAGCTAGATTTAATTCGAACAAAAAAATAATAATTAATTGTTGAAATTAAATGTATATAGTAAGATTTTATTGAAATTTGAATTTCAATTAAAAGATTCATTATGATGATTAATGTCGAAAATGATTGTCATATATACTATTTTTGAATAATAAAGGGACTGAAAAAGTGGCTGACGAGATGGTATAGATAAAGCGGCATGAAACTTGAAATAAAAACGAAATGAAACGTGGGGCAAGAAAGAACCGTCAAGAATGCAATATACAAAACGCATTATAATAATAGTTAAGGTATTAGATTGTATTTTGTTAATTTTAAAAAATTGTGAAATATCGATTTCAGTAGGTTTTTTTATAACATAAAAATAATAATTTCCTATTTTAATAGTTCGTATTTCGTTAATTAAAAAAAATATATAGGAAATATTTACTTAAAACAATATATAGGAAATATTTATTTGAAACAATATACAAAACATGTTATATTGATAGTATGGGTAATAGTATGTATTTTGTTAATTTTAAAATATGGTAAAATATCAATTTTAGTAGTTTTTTGAAAACATGAAAATAATAATTTCATGTTAAAATAAATGTATCATATAAATAATGATAGTTAAATAAAGATTTACGAGCTTAGTAAGCACACATATATAGAATAGTGGGATTTATTACCTAGATAATAACTATTTTTACAGGAATCGATTCAAAAGGTGCAGAGAAGAATATTGTCGTGCCACACAATCAATGGGACTAAGATTCGAACTCTCCCCGAAAGAGTTCTTTTATTGGTTGACACAGATCACGCATTCAAGCAAATATGTTATAAGTACAGAGTCTGGATTTGAACTTACCACCAACGTACGAATTACACGAGGATGATTTTTTCATTTACATGTATTATATTGTATTAATTAATTAGCTATTTATAATTATAATTACGTATAATTTAGTATAATGCACAATTAATTAATTGTACTTTACTATTTTTATCACATAATTTAGTATCCGTACAATAAATTTATAATGGTAATCTATCGTTTTTTTTTATTATTATTTTATCACCTAGAGAACCATTGGATAGAAAGATACAGGAAGAACAGTTGAACAAAAAGATTGAGAAGCTTTGTGGCTTGACCTAAACTGTCCACCACACATGTAGGATTCATGTTCCAAAAATATGAAAAATCTTGATACGTGTGGACAGTCAAATGTTAAAAATATTGCTTCCACAACGGTTGAAAAAAGGGATATATGTGTTTGGTTGTTTTTTATGTGATAGAAATGTTTGTTTGTTGTTTTTTTTATGTGATGGAACGTTATATGTAAATTGTGTTTAACAATGAATAAGTTTCTTCCAAAATTTTCTCTCGCATGAGAGTTTCGTTCTCTCTTCTGAGAGTTTTCTTCTTCTCGTTGAGAGTTTGCTTCTCCTCCTTAGGAGTGATTTTTTTCAATATTTTGTTTCAAAATAGGGTTGTGAGAGGGTGTTATTATATGTGTGTAGGTGGTTTCTTGACCTAATTGGAGTTGCGCTAAATATTGGGAATTCTGCCCCAATAGGGCAGACGGAGAAAATTGGGGCTTTAATTGGTAGCAGCGATAGTGCTAGTGATAAGGAAATGGAGAAGGAAGAAGACGTTCTGGGAAACCTCATGGAGAAATTCTACCTATCGGAAAGAGAGAGCTCCCTAATTGACATTGAAGATAGGGACGTGCGATCCAGTGCTGAGGAGTGTAGCTGCAACCTGTTTGGGAAAGTCGTCGGGGATAGAAGTGCTAACTGGATGGGAGTCAAGAGAGCAATGACGCAAGCGTGGAGGGTGGGAAATGCCTTTGAGGTGCATGAACTGGATCCTAACTTCTCCCAGTTCATATTTCAAACAAAAGAAGCCAAGGAGAAGATAGCTCTGGACATGAATTGGATTTTCGATAACCAATTCATGATTCTGCAAGAGTGGAGGGCTGGAATGAAAAGTACTCATACCTGTTTTGACTCAATAAAAATTTATGGGTTCAAGTTCATAATGTTCCGCTAGATTGGTTAAGTACGGGAGTGGGTCTAAAGCTGAAGAGAATGTTCAAGGACATAAAAAACGTCCACATAGCTAGAGTTGGCAACCATGGAGGAAAGGTTCTTAGAATCCTAGCCACGCTGAATCTCTCAGAGCCCATTCCCATATGGGCTATTATCAGGCTAGGGGAAAGTGTTGTACACGTTCATTTCAAGTACAAGAAGCTGATAATTTGGGTTACTATTGCGGAAGAATTGTTCATATTGACAAGAATTGCAGAAAGAATATTAAGGACATTAAGGAGAATGATATGAATGAAGATCAGTATGGTGATTGAGTTAAAGCAGCTGAAGGTGCCCACTGGTCAGAATCCCAAAGCCCGAGCAGCCAAACTGCTTCAGGAGATCCTCATAATACCAGCAATCAGGCTAGGGGGAGTACATCTATAAATGGTGTTGGTGAGATTAGATCCTCGAATAAGGTGGATAGCTCTCAGCAGGGACAGAAAGCATAAGGGAATTACAGCTTCATGATTGTAATATGGTGGAGCAACCAAGCACATCTGTAGAAGGAGGTTGAGGAATTCAGATTGAGGAGCCTATATTGGCAAGGATAAAATCAACCCAACAAGCTATGATAACTCATGAACATCCTAGTGACATGGAGATGGGCCTGGGAATAGTACCTGTGGGAGAAAAGGAAGCTATTGAGAAGGTGGAAAAGAAGCCCAGAACTTGGAAGAGGAAACCAGATGCTACTGGTAGGCTGCAGAGAAATGAAAGTCAAACCGAATATATGAAGAATGAAGCTGGGGAAGATAGAATTCAACCTGATGAGCTAAGGATCATCCAAAATCCATCTGAAAGAGGGGAACAACTGGAACAAGGAGACAGTAAGAAGAAATCAAAAACCATAGCTAAGAAGGTGGAGGCAGCCAGTCATCAATGGCTCCACCCCTCTCAATAAAAGCCATGGTGTGGAATTGTAGAGGGCTGGGTGGGCCCTCTACAGTTCCCCAATTGCGAGAGTCCATTATGACTCACCATCCAAACTTGGTTTTTCTTTCTGAAGTTAAAAGGCAAAAAGAGTTTGTAAGCAAAATCTATAAGAAGTTGGGATATGCTTTGTTGGGACAGAGAAATTGAGATCATCCAGGTGAAAGTGAGTGATTTTTGTCTACAAGTTCAGTTCAGACTGAATCACATGACAACACCAGAGTGGGTCATCTTTGTTTACATGAGTACTATTAAAGCAGACAGAGAGCTCCAATGGCAGTTCCTTCAAGATGAGAAAGAACAATGGGGAGAGAGATGGATATCTATTGGGGATTGGAATGACATCTGTTGCAAGGAAGAGAATAAAGGAAGGAGAGTTAGAACTAAGAGAAGCTACCAGGGATTCAACAATTTTATAGCTCAAATGGGGATGTTTGTGATCAATATGGAGGGGTGCCCCATCACATGGGAGAATAATAGGGAAGGGGAAGGTTATGTGGAGGAGGTGTTGGACAAAGGGTTTGGGTCTCTGAACTGGACTGATGTTTATCCTCAAGCAAATATAACCAATATATATAGGAGTGCAGCTGACCATGGACTTCTACGTTGAATTCAGAGACAAAGGCAGAAGCTAAGAAAGCTAGGTTTAGCTTTGACAAGAGGTGGATTCACAGGGAAAGAGTTAAAGAAGTTGTGTCTGCAACTTGGGGAGAAGAATATATGGGCACTCCTTTTTTCAACCTAAAGGAGAAAGTCAAGAAAACAAGAATGGCCTTATGTAGATGGAACAGGGGTGTCAATAGAAGAAGGAGGGAGCAGATTGAGAAACTAACCTTGTCTTTGGAAGAAATGAGGAAGCTTGGAGGAGGGAGAAATTGGGAAGAATGGAAAACATTGCAGAATGAGCTTGATGAAGACTATGTATCTGAAGAAAAGTTCTGGCAACAAAAATCAAGAGTAATGTGGCTTAAAAAGGGAGACCGTAATTCAAAATTTTTCCATGCTATGACTATGCAGAGAAGAAGGAAAAATGCTATTATTAGACTTGTTGAGGGAGGCAGAGTGCTGGACTCAGACAGAGCCATTGAAGACCATGTGGTCAAATTCTATGACAATCTTTTCAATTTTGAAGGTATCACAAGAAGAAGAAGAAGCACTTAGCAATATCAGTCAAGTTATCACTCAGGATATGATTGAAGATCTAATCAAAGGAGCGGAAGATGATGAGATAAAGCAAACACTGTTCCAGATGAACCCTTTAAAAGCGCCAGGTGAGGACAGCATTACGGCCCTCTTTTACCAACACTTTTGTCCG